AAAAAATTAGCCAGGCATGGTGGTGCCCACCTGTAATCCCAGCTAATCGAGAGGCTGAGGCAGGAGAATCACTTGAACCCAGGAGGCAGAGGTTGCAGTGAGCAGAGATCACACCACTACTCTCCAGCCTGGGCCACAGAGCAAGACTACGTCTCAAAAATAAATAAATAATTATTTTGGCCAGGCACAGTGGCTCACGCCTATAATCCCAGCACTTTGGGAGGCCAAGGCGTGTGGATCATGAGGACAAAAGATTGAGACCATTCGGGACAACACAGTGAAACCCCATCTCTACTAAAAATACAAAAACTAGCTGTGTGTGGTGGCACATGCCTGTAACTAGAGAGGCTGAGGTGGGAGAATTGCTTGAACCTGGGATGCGGAGGCTGCAGTGAGCCAAGACTGCGCCACTGCACTCCAGTTTGGGTGACACAGTGAGACCCTGTTTCAAAAAAAATAAAAATAAATAAATGGCAGGGCATGGTGGCTCATGCCTATAATCCCAGCACCTCAGGAGGCCGAGGCATGTAGATCACGAAGTCGAGATTGAGACCATCCTGGACAACATGGTGAAACCCCATCTCTACTAAAAATATAAAAACTAGCTGTGTGGTGGCGCATGCCTGTAATTCCAGCTACTAGGGAGGCTGAGGCAGGAGAATCGCTTGAACCCAGGAGGCAGAGGTTGCAGCGAGCCAAGACTACACCACTGCACTCCAGCCTGACGACAGAGACTCCATCTCAAATAAATAAATAAAATTAATGAATTAATCATTTTAGAAACAGAGTCTTGTTCTCTCACACAGGCTGGAACACAGTGGCGCAATCATAGCTTACTGCAGCCTTGAACTTCTGGGCTTGATCGATCCTCTGCCGCGGCCTCCCAAAGTATTGGGATTACAGGCATGAGCCACCTTGCCGGGCCTGCTGATTGACCTCTTTTGGTGCAGATTAACATAGTCCTCTGTCCTTCCTACTAAGGACCTAGAGAGGCTTAATCAGATTCAGGTTTTCTTTCTTCAGCATGACTCTATCGTAAGTAACGTGTTTTTTCCTAAAAAGGTATATAACGTCTGGTTATCTCCAAGTAACTGGGATTACAGGCACGTGCCACCATGCCCAGCTAATTTTCTGCATTTAGTAGAGATGGGGTTTCACCATGTTGGTCAGGCTGGTCTCAAACTCCTGACTTCAGGTGATCCACCCGCCTTGGCCTCCCAAAGTGTCAGGATTACAGGCATAAGCCACCATGCCTGGTTTATTTTATTTTTATTTTTTTGAGACGGAATCTTGCTGTCGCCCAGACTGGAGTGCAGTGAAGCGATCTCGGCTCACTGCAAGCTCCGCCTCCCGGGTTCATGCCATTCTCCTGCCTCAGCCTCCAGAGTAGTTGGGACTACAGGCACCTGCCACCACACCTGGCTAATTTTTTGTATTTTTTTAGTAGAGACAGGGTTTCACCATGTTAGTCAGGATGGTCTCGATCTCCTGACCTCGTGATCCACCCACCTCAGCCTCCCAAAGTGCTGGGATTATAGACCTGAGCCACCACGCCCGGCCCGTTTTATTTTTTTGAGACAGGGTTTCACTCTGTCGCCCAGGCTGGAATGCAGTGTTGCAATCTTGGTTCACTGTAGCCTCTGCCTCCCGGGTTCAAGCAATTTCTGTGCCTCAGTCTCCTAAGCAGTTGAGGCTACAGGTGCATGTCACCACAGACTCAACTAATTTTTGCATTTTTTAGTAGAGACGGCGTTTTGCCATGTTGGCCAGGCTGGTCTTTAACCCCTGACTTCAGGTGATCTGCTCCCAAAGTGTTGGGATTACAGACGTGAGCCACCACACCCAGCCAAATTGTGGTACATTTAAAATGAGCTATAGGCCAGGCACGGTTGCTTACACCTGTAATCCCAGCACTTTGAGAGGCCGAGGTGGGCGAATCACCTAAGGCCAGGAGTTCAAGACCAGCCTGGCCAACATGGCGAAACACTGTCTCTACCAAAAATACAAAAATTAGCCGGGTGTGGTGGTGCACATGCCTGTGTTCCCAGCTGCTCGGGAGGCTGAGATGGGAGAATAGCTTGAACCGGGGTGGCGGAGGTTGCAGTGAGCCGAGATTGAGCCACTGCACTCCAGCCTCGGCAACAGAGCGAGACTCTGTCTCAGTAAATAAATAAATAAATAAAAGGAGTTATAGAGATTAAATACATGTACTTGCAAGGAAAGATATATCCATGCTACAACAATAAGAAAAAAAGGTAGAACACAAAATTATGTACATTTGTTTAAAATTGTATTTGGAAGACTGGTGTAAATTAAAATGGCAAAAATGTATATGCACCATCGTTACAACAACACAAGAAATCAGATACAGGCTGGACATAGAGGCTCATGACTATAAACCTAGAACTCTGGGAGGCCAAGGCTGGGGGGGAATCGCTTGAGGCCAGGAGTTTGAGACTAGCCTGATCAACATAGCAAGACCCTGTCTCTACAAAAAACTAAAAAATTATTGGGAGTTGGTGGCACTTTAGTACCAGCTACTGAGATAGCTGAAGCAGGAGGATCAGTTGAGCCCGGGAGTTTGAGGTTATAGGGAGCTATGATGATCTCACCACTGCACTCCAGCCTGTCTCTATCAAAAAATTAAAAAAGATATATATTTTCTTAGGAAATAAAGATTGAAAGATACTTGAAGGAAAAATACAAAAATGTCAAAATGCTGGTAGCAGTTGTGTTAGGGTGGTAGATTATACAGATTATGGCAAATTTTTTAATTTTTTATATATTGCCCACGTTTCCTTTTTTTTTTTTTTTTTTGAGACAGAGTCTTGCTCTGTCGCCGGGGCTGGAGTGCAGTGGCGCCATCTCGGCTCACTACAAGCTCCGCCTCCCGGGTTCGCACCATTCTCCTGCCTCAGCCTCGTAGTAGCTGGGACTACAGGTGCTTGCCACCATGCCCGGTTAATTATTTGTTTTTTTTTTAGTAGAGACAGGGTTTCACCGTGTTAGCCAGGATGGTCTCGATCTCCTGACCTCGTGATCCGCCCGCCTCGGCCTCCCAAAGTGCTGGAATTAGTCTTGAGACACCGCGCCTGGCGTTTCTCACTTTTTATAAAAACATTCAAAATTTTGGCCGGACGCGGTGGCTCACGCCTGTAATCCCAGCATTTTGGGAGGCCGAGGACGGTGGATCACAAGACCAGCCCAGCCAAGACGGTGAAACCCCGTCTCTACTAAAAGTACAAAAATTATAGCGCGCCTGTAATCCCAGCTACTTGGGAGGCTGAAGCAGGAGAACCGCTTGAACCTGGGGAGCGGAGGTTGCAGTGAGCCGAGATTGCGCCACTGCACTTCAGCCTGAATGACAGAGCAAGACTCTATCTCAAAAAAAAAAAAAAAAAAAATTCAAAAATCGTCTACCCAGGAGTTAAATTAACCAGTATGAAGATTACATGTACCCCTATTTCTCTTCCTTTGTTCTACTGTGTTACTGCGTTGCCTGAACATAACACTCCCAAACATGGAGGCTACATTGAAAGCATCAATCGCTTTCCTGTAACTGTGTTGCTTGCATTTATTCTTTGGTTGGGGTAGTAATTGTAGGGTGGGGGCATTTTTACACTGAGGTCCTGCAATGGTAAAACTACTTTCCTGGATGAGAAGGGTCTCACCTGAACCACTTAAGATGACAAAAAATACTCATGGTCATGGCCATTTATCAGGGCCCAAAAGATGTCAAACTACCAGTGTCCAGAAAAAACTTAGGGCAGACTAGAGTAGGATCTGAATATAAGAGCCTAGGGTAGTTCTGCAAAGTTCAAAGGAAAAAAAGAACTTCAGAATTATCTGGGAGGAGAAGGGCATGCCATCAAACAGAAAAGTCCACCCAGCAGAGATGGGCAGGGAAGGTCTTTCTTCCACACACCGAATGGCACTACATGCTGAAGTCACTTACCACTTGCTTCAAGGTTCTCTTCTTGTTCTTCTTCTGCTTCTTCATCGCCCTCGGTTTTGTAATATGACTCCCACCCTGACATGTTGGCTACTGCTCACTAGGCGAAAGACGTGAAAGTCAGTAACAGGCAAATTTAAACCGAAAAAATATCGACCTCTAGGTTCTCGTGAGATCTGTTCTAAAAGCTTGGTTAGTAGTGAGGAACGTGGACGGTAAATCCTGCCGCCTCGAAAGCTCGGCAGTCGCACTGCATGTAAATACGCATGGGGGCCATCCCAATAATAGCCTCATCTCAGCTATCCCTCACGTTTCAGGGCCCGCGGCGGCCCGCGGAAGCCAGATGCCGGAGGTCCCGCCCCCGGCGCCATTTAGACGATGAAGGATTCCCGCTTCGGAATTCTGTGCTCACTAACGGACCCCCTCGTCCTCAATACCGCCCCAAAACCTCCCCAAATTCCTCAATCACGCCCAATGAGGTCTCAAAGGCAGACGGGCCTCAAGTGCAGGCAGGCCGCAAGCGCAGGAGGGCCTCAAACGCAGGCGGGCCTCAAACGCGAGGTGCCGCCTCCTTCGGGAGGAAGGAGCGTGGTCTCGAGTCTGTCGCTACCCCTCGGATTCGCACACTTAAGGCTAACTGTAACCCTCTAGCAAGGCTATGGGGGCGCGCGACACCGAGCGGGCGAAGCGGGACGAGGCCAGGCCTCGCTGGCGAACAACACAAATGGGTAACGGCCCGCTTACCTTTGGCGCAGAGAAGCGACCAACTTGGACAGAAGACGAGAATCCACGCATGCGCGGGCCCTGTTCTTGGTCCCAATCAACGCCCCCTACGTCATCACGCATGTGCGCACTATTCGCGTCAGGCTGGCACGCACGCTCCCCAACCAGCTTCTACCTGCGTCCCTGACGAAATCAGAGAGCCCCGCCCACTTCTGCAAAGCCACGCCCCCGCCGTACGTCAGGACAATAAGCACATGCGCAAAAGTGCGTGCCTGCCCCCGCCCCCTCTTCCGTGTGGGCCCTCCCTGTCCGCTCTCTGTCACCTCACAGTAGTCGTTGCCGGTAGCGGGTGTGGGGGCGCGAGCAGCGCAGGGCGGCCTCTCCCCCACCCCTCAGCCCGGGCCCGGGCTCGGTCCCCCCCCCCTCCGCTTCCCACCCCCGTCGGGTACGGGAAGGTCCAAGTCGCTGCCGGGTGCCCGAGGGCCGTCGTGGCCGCCGTCGCCACGGGTCCCAATGGAGCCGCCGAATCTCTATCCGGTGAAGCTCTACGTGTACGACCTGTCCAAGGGCCTGGCCCGGCGGCTCAGCCCCATCATGCTGGGTGAGGGGGAAGGGGCCAGGTGGGCAGGAGGGCGGGAGCCAGGCCAGAGGGTGGCGGCTGGCCGAGGTGGGGAGACTTGGGCCACCACTCACGGGGAGACACATGGCCCAGAGGATGGAAGAAAAGCCGAGTGGAGAAGAGAGTGGTCTGAGGTTTAGGCCCTCTGAGCCCCGCTTTAGCCTCGCAGATACCATCCTCACGTTTGAATTCAAGGGGAAGGGATGGAGGAGTCATTCCTCCACCTTTCAGGGGGCTCGGGCAGAAACCGAACCCTCGAGAGCCCCTTCGACGGGGGTGTGGAGTAAACCAGCGCTGGATCCCAGCGGGTTCCCTGCCTCGCTCGGGTAGGCTGGTGCACTCCTGCCTCCTTGGCGCGGTGTGGGAAAGGTGAGGATGCCTGCCGCGCGGTGCCCCTCGTGGTGACAGAGACACTGCGGAGGTTGGGTGGCCTTCGGAGAACCTTGCCTCAGTGCCAAAAGTAAACTCCCTATGCAGTCCGGCGGGTAGGTGGGATGGGGGAGATAGAGCTGCCTAGGGAACCCCCCCTAGGTAGGTCAAGTCAGGACAAGAGGAGCCCCGAACTCCAGAATTCACCAAGCAATCTTCTCCCCACAGTTTCTAAGTTAATTGCTTTTGCTCAAATGGCAAGAAAGCAGTTTTGGGGGAAGTTTGGATGAGGTTGTGTGAATAAGGATTAGTAAAGAAAGTATTTCGGTTGTGCTCCGTTAAACTACCTAACTGGCAGGAGAAAAACCAGCCCTCATTCAGTGACGATCACACCTCATTTCAACTTAAAATACAGGAATGTCTTGTGTAACACAGGAATTGTCAAGTTTGTAACTTCGGGTAATCATGAGCAGGAAAGAATTCCAATAATTGAAAATTGAAGCTTTGACAGCATCCATTTGAATGGCTAATTTTTCCTGGTTTTTGTGGAGACATTGGCGAATTATTTAGTTCATCTGTGTAAGATGAGGGGGCAGAGGTCAAGTAAGCAAGGCTACTTCTGAGAGCATCTTTCAATGTCCTTGAGTTTCTAATATGTTGTAGTGAATTGAACTTAATCTCACAACCGTGGGCCTGTGAGTTGTTTCTATATTTGGCTTCACATCAAAATCATCTAGGGTGCTTGTTTAAAATGCAGATACTTTCATTTCCAACATATATTGTTAAATGAGATTAGAAAAAACAAGAGTAGAACAGCTCTTTAAATATGTAAATCAGAGGATATATATGTGCTTGCATAGGCAAATAATTATCCGAAAGGATACACAAGAAATTGGTAACAGCAGTAGCTTATGGAAAGGGGAACTTTATGCCAGGAAAACAGGAGTAGAAGAGAAGCTTTGCTATACACTGTTTCTAACCTCTAGACCTGTGTACGACATACACACAATATCTATTTAAAATGAGAAAAGTTTTAATTATATCGATTCTAGAGCTTTACTTCACAAATACTAAATCAATCTCCTGGAGTTTTGGTCCAAAAATCTGTATTTTTAATGAGCTTATCGACTAATTCTTATGTAGCCAACCCATTATTTAACAGGGGTTTGGGCCTAGATAACCAGTTGTTAAAATGATAAGGCACATCTGAAAGCAAAACTTAACAAAGTCATTGAGGAAGCTGTTACTCATTAATAGATTACATCAGTCAAGTTTTGTTTTGTTTTTTTTGAGACGGAGTCTCGCTCTGTCGTCCAGGCTGGAGTGCAGTGGCGCGATCTCTGCTCGCTGCAAGCTCCGCCTCCCGGGTTCACGCCATTCTCCTGCCTCAGCCTCCGGAGTAGATGGGACTGCAGGGGCCCGCCGCCACGCCTGGCTAATTTTTTGTATTTTTAGTAGAGATGGGGTTTCACCTTGTTAGCCAGGATGGTCTTGATCTCCTGACTTTGTGATCCACCCGCCTCAGCCTTCCAAAGTGCTGGGATTACAGGTGTGAGCCACCACGCCCGGCCCACATCAGTCAAGTTTTAACTAAACTTCTTGGAATGGAGCTATTTAGTTGCTTGTTTTTTTATCATAGTGAAGAATCAAATATTTCCTATACCCCAAGTAAAAGCCTCCCCCTTTACACTGGGTATTTTTTATCCTATTACCTAATAATTATTGGGCAGCTGAAAGGGGCCTTAGGAGTCATTATTTCATTCATTCAGCAGATCAGCAGATGTTCATTGAGCGTCCGCTCTATGCTAGTCAACGTGTTAAGGTAAATGAGGTTGATACAATGAACAAAGATACTCTTTGCCATCATGGAGCTGTCTAATGGGGGAGACATTAAAAATAAATACATAAGCAAATAATTAGTTACAAATTGCATAAGTGCCTTCTGCACCAGAAGCACACTGGGTGCTGTGATAGAAAATAACAAGAGAGACCTTTTTTTTTTTTTTTTTGAGATGAGTCTTGCTCTGTTGCCCAGGCTGGAGTACAGTGGTGTGATCTCAGCTCACTGCAACCTCTGCCTCCCAGATTCAAGTGATTCTCCTGCCTCAGCCTCCAGAGTAGCTGGAATTACAGGTGCACGCCACCACACCCGGCTAATTTTTATATTTTTAGTAGAGACAGGGTTTCGCCATGTTTGCCAGGCTGGTCTTGAACTCCTGACCTCATGTGATCCTCCCACCTCAGCCTCCCAAAGTGCTAGGATTACAGGTGTGAGCCACTGCACCCAGCCAAGAGACGAATTTTAAATAAGGGTATCAAGTGTAGTAACTTTGATACTGGGAATTTAGGATGAGGAAGAATTAGCCACAGGAAGGTAATAAGGGAGTTACAGTGTTCCAGGTAGGAGACAGATCAACCTGCCAAAGCCCTGAGACAGGAAAGAGTCTGGCCTGATACTGGAACTGAAAGAAGGCCTTTGTGGAGTGTAGTGGGTGAAAGGGAAAGTGCCATAACTGAAGGTGGAGTAATAGACCTGCCTCCTCCCCACTCCCCACCCTTTTATAAAGATGCGAAGTCCTAGAAGACCTCAGCCAATCATGGGAACATCACCCATTTGGCACATCAGATTCTGATCTGAGGAAATCACCTTGTCTGCTAATCTACTTCTTTATTTTCTACCTTTTTTTTCCATATTGCTTTTAAAACTTTTGCAAAATTAATGAAGAAAGAGTTAGCAAAGCTAGTAGGCATTACTTTCTAGAGTTGAAAACTTAAGGAAAATAGGCATGGTCTTACTGGTTCATCCCATTCAGATATCACTAGTCTTGAAGTTGGGTATGTCCCAGTTCTATAAGTAGCCATATATTGATTTCCCATTCCTAAATATATTTGAACCTTTAAAAAATCAATTTGTTTCCTGATTTCTATGATGAATTCTAGAAGTATATTAATAGCCAGTATTTATTGAGAGCTTACCTTGTGTCAGACCCTTTTTTCTGAGTACTTTGCATGCATTGTAATCTTCACCACAGCTTTGTGAGATAGGTCCTGTTATTGCCTCCATTTTCTCCATTGAGGAACCCAAGAAGTAGAGTATTAAGGAATTTGCCCCAGGTCACAGAACTGCTAGGTGGTAGAGCTGGGTTATGAACACAGGCAGTCTGACTTCCAGAGCTCGCGTTCTCAGTCATTTTGAGATACCACCTCTAATGTGTAATATGTTCCTTTATAAATGAAGTAAAGTAGATGCCTTCCTGAAGTTTGTAAAGGCATTCTTTGCCAAATGTTTCAAGTTTGGATGAGAAAAAAAGCTGGGTTCAATGTGTATGTGGCACTTACAATCTAGATTTATGATCATGCCTCTTAGCCTCCATTTTCTCAGATTAAATCCGTGTGATCTCATCCGCAGTACCCTCTCAGGCTTCAGTTATGTCAGTTCTCCATTGGGAGACCTAATCTAGCTCTACGCAGTTTAGGATTGCACTAGATAAAGCCCAAGGTAATTCCCCTTTCCTGAAGCAATGTAAATTCCATAGTTTTACCCTGTCCTGTTTTCAGCCTCCTGGAATTGCCTCACGTGAAGGCGTTACTGTTCTATAGTTCTTCATTCACCATGAAAAATGGTCCCAGAATTATCCTTAGCGTTCTAATTGATCAGATAGCCTGATTGCACGTTTTTTTCATAGTCACCGATTGCCTAAGATAATTAACTATTATAATTGTCCTTCAGTTCCTCCTCTTAATAATTTTGGCTGCTCTTTAAATTGCTTGACCTCTTTTTGTGCCAGAGTACATACAGAAGTGTGTGTGCGTGTGTGTGTGTGTGTTTTAATTGTGGTAAGAAGTACTTCATATTCGTTGATTATTTTCTGATCTCAAGTTTCGTGTGCATCCATCACGTTTATTTTTCTTTATAAGCCCATTTCAAAACTCTTTTCAGATTTAAAGATTTGGAGGCATAGAATATATACATTTCTTGGCAGAATGCATTCTAATGAATATTAGAGATTTTACTCTATACTCAATTCTTTACTTCATTTTGTAGTACAAATAGTAATGAAATAAAAGATGTGATGTGAACTCTGTCCTCCAGGAGTTTTTCTTTCTTTTTTTTTTTTTCCGAGATGGAGTCTTGCTTTGTTGCCCAGGCTGGAGTGCACTGGAACAATCTTGGCTCACTGCAAGCTCCGCCTCCCGGTTCACGCCATTCTCCTGCCTCAGCCTCCGAGTAGCTGGGACTACAGGTGCGCACCACCACGCCTGGCTAATTTTTTGTATTTTTAGTAGAAATGGGATTTCACCGTGTTAGCCAGGATGATCTTGATCTCCTGACCTGGTGATCCACCCGCCTCGGCCTCCCAAAGTGCTGGGATTACAGGTGTGAGCCACCGTGCCCGGCCAGGAGTTTTTCTTTTTTGAGATAGAATGTCACTCTTGTTGCCCAGGCTGGAGTGCAATGGCATGATCTCGGCTCAGCAACCTCCACCTCCTGGGTTCAAGCACTTCTCCTGCCTCAGCCTCCCAAGGAGCTGGGATTACAGACATGTGCCACCATGCCCAGCTAATTTTTGTATTTTTAATAGAGACTGGGTTTCACCATGTTGGTCCGACTG